AGCATTTCAAGGAGGTTCCCCTGAGTCAGCAAGAACAAGAGCCAAGGATCTTCTCACCTCGCCAGAGATGCTTGCCTCCCCTTTTCTGCCTGCCAGCTTCCAAGAGCAGCGCATGATTGCTCTGCTTAGCTCCTCAGACTAATACCAAAATCTATTTACTCACTCGAGATACCAGTGACTCAATCCAAAGCTCACTTATCAAAAACTCTCATTATTATGACTAAACTGCAGCAAAAGCAGGCAAGGTAAAGAATGAAACAATCCTCCTTTTCCATCTATTAACCATCTTCATAATTATCTCTCCTCTTCAAATGCCAGAGGAAGAGGGATGAGCTATGCAGCATGCCATTGCAGTCCTAATTCTGGGCTGTTTTTAGGGAATAGAGGGCATTACAAAGTCAAGGCTCTCCTCAGAGACTCTCCAGAGGCTTCCTCCCCTCATCTACACCAAGGGAGACCCAGTCAGTTACAAAAATGGCAAAATCTCCCCAAGAGCCTGTCTTGTGGGACGGCCCTGGTCATGAAAGCATTAGAGAGTACAGCCAGGTTTGCAGCCATGTCTGTTTTGAGAGGGTTACAACACACACAGCAAACTGAATGGATTTTTTTTTCTACTGATCATACCAAAAAAAAATGCTGAGCCTTGCTGGTGGCTGCATTTAGTTCATTCAATCAATGCAATGCTTTTTTTTTTTTTTTTTTTTCTGAATCACTACTGAGCCATTGAAGTACCAAGGGTGGATTTTGATAGTACGTACAGTAGTACAATGGATTATTTAAAGTTTTCTCCTTGGGGTGAGCCAGAAAGCTGAAGACAAATGCACTTGTGTTCCATAAAGCCCTCTCTGCATCACTCCTGCTCTGCTCTGCATATTTGATAAAAGTACTTGCTATTAAGCAATTACCCTGTTTCACTCCAGAAGTATTTTCATTTTATGTCAGAAGACATGGATGCTGGGTACAGGCTCCAGGTTGATTTGTTAAGCAGACCAGGATCTCTCTGAATAAAGGCTATTCGTGACTGCTACAGCAAGTGGCAAGTTTAAATTGGGTTGGAAAAAACTTCTGTATACTGGATGAGGCTTGGCTGTCACCTTCCACAGAAATATGTCTCATAGAACTGATAAGAGGGCAAGCTGGGGTCCTATTCAAAGATTACTGTGTCCTCCACTGTTTGTTTATATTATTATTTGTGTTTATAATGTTAACATATAATTCATATCTTTATGAATTATTTTCCATATTCATATTATAAAGTTATTCTCTGACTATACAACACACTAGTGGGATTTCCTTTCAATGCTATTTTCCCAATTTTATGAGTTACATTGTAAAAGTGGGGAAAAATATATGAATTATTTACTTCAAAGTACTTGCTGTACAAGAGTTTGCTCTTAAGAGCTAGGATTCCCCTAGCAAATAGCCTTTTGATAACTGAAATGCTTTCTAGAATTCTGTGATAAAGTTAAAAAACTGCATAACTTCACTCAAACGACATCAGGAAAAAGGATTATGGCTGCAGCATCAGGACCAGAGTACTGCTACTCTTTTGTGGTAAAGGCAGCATGAAATGTCTCTGTTGACATTATTACTAAAATGCAGAGAGAAGATAAAGCAATGATAAAGCAAAGAAAAAGGCTAAGGCCCTGCAGCAAAGATGCATGTATTCGTGACTTTTCCATCACTATCAATAATGCATAATGACCATCATGCAGATGATGACACCAATTTTTGAGAAAGACTGAGTCAATCTTTCTAACACCAAAAGAGAAAAAACATTCAACATGACATTGTATGTCAAGAAGACAGGACCTGCTAGATAAGCAAAGGTCCAGCAGAAAGGGTAATGGAGAAGGAAATCAGCTGATGTTGATATAAATTGACATCTGCTGTACCAGTTTGTAGTGTTTTATGGAATAAACCCATTCTCTACTGAAAGAAACAGTTTTAGGGTCACAAAAATATCTTGACTAGAAAAAAAAACAAACTGATGGTTTATCTGTGAGCAATTCTACAACATCAAGAAACCACGTTCAATATTATGCTCAAATTTTACAGCTATGTATATTCTCCCTTTATGTACTATACTCTAATTCTGCATGGCAGTAGATGATAGGTATGTTGCTGCTTCCCTGTGGTATCTTAGATTCTGTACTGCTGCTTTGAATAATTATTTTTGCATGAAGATTGATTGTAGTGGCAAAGGGGAAAAGCCAGACTGGAACTTTGAAAAGATTTATTTTTTTTCTGTTTGAATCCCAATGGCATAAATTCAGTTCTCACACCAGAAATTGCTCTGGTGTAAATGAGAACAGAAGTGGCCCAGTATGTGCATGGCTGGGCATCTGACTTCAGTAAGATAAATTCTGAGCTCACTTCCACTCTATGTGGACCGTCCCTCACTCCGTGTTACCTATAGTTTGATGGTGAAATTTGGCTTGGAGTTTGCCTACAAATCTTGTAGCTGTTCATTGAGCTTCATCCATTAAAACCAGTGGCAGTTAAACATAGACATGTCTGACATATATATGGCATGTAAGACATATACATATCTTAAATCCATAAGACAAATTTTATCCCCATATGCAGATGGCTATCAAGCTACTGGGATCCCAACACACACTGTCAATAACCTCAGTGTGACCCACCGTGGGATGTTCAACATGAATCAAAGACGCAAAGCAGGACACAAGCTACCAACATTTTCACCCCTTGCTATGGCCAAGCACTGATGGCACAGACCAAACCCACCTTGGAGGTGAGGAGCCCTTATTCACACCCAGGAGTCCCAGAGTTACAGCTGAGGATGGAGTCTGATCATCAGAGCACAGAACTGGAAAAGCCATGAAACCAACCCAGATTAGGAGCATTTTGAAAACACGGGCAGAATTTCATTCCTTCAAGCAGTCCTTCAAGCAGTGTTAATCAGTGAATTAATTTCCACTGCCAGTCTAAATGCTGCTTAATTTACTCTCCAAAATAACTCAATCTCAGTGTGATTTCAATGTGGTCCTTAAAGGAACTTGGTCCACTTATCTCTCCCTGATTTATAGTGGATTAATAAATTATCAGATTCTACTGCATCAGCAGTTAATTCTGAATTTGAGCAGGAGCTGTTGATATGTTCTCTGGGGCAGGAATTTAAGTTCAGGCCTTTGCTTGAAAGGATCGATGTTAGACGTTTCTCTGGCAGCTGAATCATTATAGAGCACACAGTCCTTACTACAGTGCTGTATGTCTGATGCCTAATGAGGCAACAAAACTAAATTTACTTTAAAGTTATGCCTCTAATGCATAGCTGAGCAGGGACAGTGTGCAAGCAACACTACCATGAGGTCAAAGGTCTGCAGCAACAGCAAATTAAAGGAAATATTACTGTTCTCTTTAAACTAAGCTATGGGAATGCAAGAGGGCTAAGACACAGAAGAGTAGAAGGTATAACCCAGACTCTGCTGTTCTCCCCTCCACATATCAAGTCCTTACTCCTGGATGCTGCAGCCACAGCAGACAGGGGGATGAGAGGACAAGGGGATCGTTTTTACATTTCTGAATGGGACATACACAAGTCACATATGACTCTAAGGAGAACACAAGAGCATTAAGTGTGGGAGAGTCCTTGCTCTCGATTCACCTTCATTTATTATTCATTTCTTGGCCTTTAACAGTGATCCACATCATTATTCATACCTACCTTGTTGCTTTTTATGGGAGGCATAAAAAAACTATTATTGTTAATGCAGCATGCGGAAGGCAATGTGTATGCCTGTGTAGTCAACCATGCTCTTTTTGATGGAATAATAAATATGGTTAAAGATTTGCAGTGGCTTAACATGTATCAAAGAGACATGCTTGTGGATGGGAGAAGGCAGTGAGCACAGGAGAGTGATTTCCTGGCTGGGAAGACACAGAATACTGGCCCTGAGTTGCTGGAAACCAGTTTTGCTTTGCACACAGGCATACTTATTTGACGAGCACTTCCAAATAGTTTAGGGCAGCGAATCCCAGCTCGCTGTCTGACCATCACCTCCGGACTCTGACCTGCCCCGGGAACATGGATGACCCTTTCTGAATACCTAGAAAAGGCCTAGGATACTAGGGCTAGTAGATGAGATGATAGAGCTTCCAGCATCTAACCGGACTGCAAGCAGTGAATACCACGCTTCTGCTTCTACTAGTAATTTGGTGAGGAAGGTCTTGTCCAAAATTCAGGAAGTTTTTAGGATTCATGCAAATGAACGCCCGTAGTAAGACAGAGCTTGCATGCGACAAGAACCTCCTCCCCCCCCCCCCCCCCCCCCACTTTGCCAAACTGCTCCTTTCATAAGTTGTTAAAGTTTTTACAGAAAACGCCTTAGAAAGAGAGGCGAAGGGCCAAACCCGAGGGAATCACCCCAGGTTTCACAAAGTTTTGTAACTGAGCCCAGCCGCTCCCCAGGGACCCGGGGCTCCGCCGCAGGGCATCCCGCAACCGCCGCAGCACCGGGGGTGGGGGGGCCGCCCGCACAGCCCCACCGAGCCCCCGCCGCCCGCCGCCCCGCTCCCGGGAGCTCCCCGAGGGGCTCGCTCGCCAGCCGCGGCACGCAGGGCAGCCCGCAGGCCTTGGGGGCAGCTGGCGGGACGGACGGACAGCACAGACACACGGACGGACTCACCGCGCCGCCGGCCCCTCTCCTCCCCCGCCGGCCCCGGCGCCGCTCCCGCCGGGTGAAGGCACCGCCGAGCCGGGGCCGCCGCTGCTGTCCGCGGCCGCGCTGGTGCTGAAGCGGCGCGGCCCGCCCCTCCCGCCCGCCCCCGCCGGCCCTTTGGAGCGTAAACCGGTGGCCATGGCGACGCGCGTCACACCGCCCCGGGCGGGGCCGCCGCCGGGGCTCCCGCCAACCGCCCGCGCTCCCGCCCTCCGCCTCACGGGGGAGGCCGCGCGCCGCCGCCTCAGGCGGCCCCGCCCCGGGGAGGCCCCGGCGGGTGGGGGCGAGGCCCCGGCGGGGGGTGAGGCCGCCCCGGCCCCCGCAGGGCCGCCCCCCAGCCCCGAGGGCCGGTCGGCGCCGGCGGTGAGCGGCGGAGAAGCAGGACCGGTGCGTTTAGCTGATTCCCGTGGGTGTCTGCGCGTACGGGGCCGCATCGGGTTTACAGCCAGGTTTTCCCTGACACAGCCGGGCAGGGTGCAGACCCCTGAGGCAGGGACGTGGCCACCGCCGGCCCTCACCCTCCACTGCCTGCAACCAACCCCTCGTCCATCGCCCCTTCCAACGGCGACGGGGCGAGAAGGGCCACTCGGGCCGGGCTGCCCCGGCGGGGCATCAGAGGTCCCGGCAGCCCCGCGCCCGTGGAAGGAAGGGTCCCATTCCCTCGGCGGCAGACGGTTTCGTCCTCTGGTGACCCATTTCTCAGCTCATTAACCCCGAGAAATGTCAGAACAAAACTTACTTGGTTTCAAGATCCTCCCTGCATGAAAAGCTGCTGATTTGGGCCTCGTTATTTGTATTACAGGAGCACTAGGAAGGCTCAGCTGAGGTTAGACCCTTGCCTGGTTGTATGTATATATATATATGTATACTGTGCATACATATACATACATAGCAAGAAGACAAAGTTGCCAAGGGAATCTCAGCAAGAAAATCTGAAGTTTCAGGGATGCAAATAGAAGGATTAAGGTGATTTAGCCAACCTCCTGCAAGAAGTCAGCGACGGGAGCACCGGCACCTGCAGCTTGGCCACTCAGCACCCTGAACCCTGCCCCTCCAGCAGCACAGTCCTTCGGGCCCGGAGAGGCCCTCGGCGGCCGGATCCCCCTCCACCACAGCTGTGCTAGGAGACGGGCCCTCTGCACACATTCCGTACGTTCCTTTATGTGCAATACACGATGTCACTGACTCAGTTCTAATTTTAAATGGCAGATTTAGAAAACCAGGCTTTCCAACTAAGATTTACTATCTCTGATCACTTACTTAACTGGCTGAAAGGAATAAAATCCTGAATGGGACGAGGTTGTGGCATTTGTTCTTTTTCTGGTCCTTTCCACTCCACTGTAATACTAAACAGCTCACACTTGCTGCTGCACAGTGTCTAAGAACACAGAACTCAGGTGAGAGATAATTTACCTCACTGCTCTGAGAAACTGTGCCAAATGGGTAAGCCATGATTATTTTTGAAAAACTGCAGATTTGGTACTACAGTGATTCATAACAATGATCATAACCTTGACAAAAAAAAAAAAAAAAAATATTTTAAGCTGCATTTTATCATAGGCATATATATATAATAACCATAAATAGCCATGTCTGTACTTTAACTTAAAGCACCCAGAGACTTCTCGGCTGGCTCTTTGTTATTACGCCAAAGCAAGATTTTAACCTTTTATCTCAAAAGAGTCTGCAGGAATGAAATAAGACCCTCATTAAACATGAAAATCCCCAAACCAGCTGTTATTCTTTAGTGCCCTTAAAAACATCTCCAATGTCTCTTTCCTCTTGAGAATAGCTTTATGACTCCGGTGATAAGGCAACTGCAGCAATTACAAAGCACTTTGTAATTAAAGAATCCCACTCATGAGCCAACTTAATTTTACATCATAGACACCAAGTTAGTTTATATTAGTTTATATTCCTAGTTGTCAAAATTATTTATATTTAAATGAGTTGATTTTATTTATTTATTTATTTTTTATTTATTATATTAGTTCATATTCCTAGTTGTCAAAATAAATTTTAAAAAGCTGATGAGCCTTTTGTAACTTCCAAAACCCTCATAAACTCCAAACAAACCAATTCACAGCTACAGTAACTATTTTTTACTAGCCTGGGTCAGCCCCTGCCAGGATTAAGCCCACAGTTCTGCCTAACCATTGTGTGTAGCTATTGAGTGATTAATTGGGCAAATTAATTAGTTAATGTTTCTACTGTACATTGAAAACAATGAATTACTAAGGAAGAGCTACGTATCTTTCACTTTTTTTTCACTAGGTAATTGCCAGCACTGTGGCACGGCTGGGTAAGGAAATAGTGTTTCATATACAGAGAAAAGACTATGTTCGATGGCTGATAAACCTAATTTAATGTCAGGCAGGGAGAGATGGATTTTCTTGGAATTGTGCCTTTACCTCTGCGCATTTTCGGGGAGGTGGATATAAATCTGTGCCATCATGATGTCACCAGGCTGCTGTGAATGGCCACAGGCAGGCAGAGCAGGGACATCATCACAGGGCTGGCAGCAACCTATTTTCAACACGTAGCAAAGTGGCTGAATGAAGGAGAAGGAGAAGGAGGTCTGTGTGATTGGCAAAATCCTGGTTCCACTGAGGTTGCTGGGACTTTCACTACTGAGTTCAGTAAAGCCGGGATTTCACCCAGAGCACTTTGTTTTGGAAATGAAGATTTTAAAGGACAGGTCTTCTCTGCCGATGTCATCTACAAGAAATGCTCTCTAAAGCCTGGACTCTTGCTGCCTCCTCCTACTTTGGCCCTAATTCAAGAAAGCACTTAATGTATACATAAATACATTTCTCATCAGCAAAGCTTTTCAGCAAACACCTAGTTTAAATATTTGTTTATCTCTAATTAATTGGTTAAGAAGTAAGGTATTACTCAATAAGAGTAAGAAGTGGGATAATCTAGCTGTAAATGCTTATCCTTTATATCATTTATAAGCAGAGCTTAGTCATCTTTTGACCAGTGACGCACAGCACTGATTTCTTGCTGAATAAAATTTTAGAAGCACAGCCAATTTTTCACAGAGGCTTGGACCTGTGCCCTTTATCAGGTTTTATGAATGCAAAGATCAAGGTCCGTAGCATGCAATGGATAACCTAATGCAAGGTCGGGTTTTGCTAGAACAACAGCACCTAAATCCTCAACTGTGATGATGGGGTCCAGCCCTACTTTCAGTTTTTATCAAATTTCATAGGGATTTTGATGTGCGGAACAAGTTCAAACTATGATAGCAATAAAGGCAGTTGCAAAATGCTGAAGATTACCAAGCTTAAAACTGTAAAGGTCAGATCCTGATCTACACTTCCCCAGTTCTCACATGTATTTAGATCTGAGACATCCTGCGCATTTAGCTCTCCACTCTGCAGTTCAGCAAGGTGGAAGAAAATCATCTTTATATTTGGAAAATTCCATTGCAGGACTACGTTTCCCTTCTAAAACTCCAGAATTTCATGTCATGAATGATGCATATTCCGTCTCAATGGAACTCATCTGAGAAAAAAAAAAACCATGGCCTTAATTTTAAGCGTATGTTTCTGAGACAACATGGAAGGGGGAAGTGCACTTTCCAGGTTAACTAGGCATCCACTTTTGCATGCACACACACAAGAAGAGAAATACAACCGTAAAAAAATTTCCTTTCCATCCTGCCAGGGTGAAGCCAGCAGATTGCACACACGACTGTCAGAGCACTGCAAGCTCTTCCTCTCATCACTGGGCGCCTTGCACTGAGCGCTTGGCCAGATTTTGGAAGGAATTTATATTGTCTCTGCCTGTTTTTTTTCAATTTAGTAGCTATAGCGGGAAAATCAGATCTTACCAAGTAAAAGTACTGAGAACTACTTGATGTGCAAATTTCTCTTAAAGGAAGTGGAAGAAGTCCACTGAGGTCAGAATTTTTGTAGCTCCTGCTACCTTTGATGGAGTTTTTCTCTTAAATGTGAAGAGACTTGTTAAGTTTATTTATTGGCTGAACCTAGAAGTGGAGAATGCTTTCATTCATCCAGAACAGTCTCTCTGAAGACAGAATGCAATTCACTTTTTCTTCTGCCATTGGTTCTCGGAATGAAAATGAATCAAACAATCAAAACTATGAGATTAGTCAGAAATAGCTCTTTTCCTGTACTGATGCTTAAGCTCTGGTCTGTATGAAATAATTTCTTGACCTTTGGCCAGAGAGGAAGAAGTTTAAAAGTGCAAAATAAGCTATAAAAATGACCATTAAGACATTTCCTCAGGAAATCTATTTAAATGCTGATGTCATTTTCTACAGTAACTACTTCAGTTTGAAATAACTTCTTTAACGGTTGAAAACTAGAAAGGCACCATCAGAATCAGAGAGGAAGGCTTGATGGTGTGACAGCAGACACACTGTGAGACATGTTGAAGGGGTAACGCCTGTGCAAGGTCCTGTGTGAAAGGACTGAGAAGACCTTGTTCCAAGATGAATGACCAGTCTGAGGAGAGATGTGTCTCCCTCCTCTGTAATTTGAGGTGGATCCTGGGACATTCAGCAAACTTGGCTCCAGCTGTCTGGTTTTGGAGAGGACCACATAAGCACAGAACTTAAATGGAGATTTAATAGTCTAATAGGCGAGAGGCTGCAGAAAATCAACTTGGTATCATGACTATATAACAGAGTGAAATAAAGGCTTCTAATTCAAGACACGGAGTGGTGAATGTCAGTTTATTGGGAAGCCAAGGGAAACAGGAGAAGATGTGGCCTCATAATTCTGGTTATACTTCCAAAACTATACTGTAGGAATATAAGACGCTACTGGGAACACACATAGTAGAGCTAAGTGCTCAGCAAAGCATGCTAACCTAATTTCATCATTACATGAAAGAAGAAAATCCTGACTCATATTTTATGAAAATTGCTATGGTGAATCAGCAAATTACTTCTGTTTATCTCCTCCAATGTCAGCCCACTGAAGTCTGGAGCAACTAATCTCAGGGCACTTGTAAATAGAATATATTCAGATTGGCTGAAGCTGGAGTAAATGGAAGCAAGCAGTAATTCGTCATTGACGGATAGCTAGGAAGCTCAGAAAAATGCTATTTCCTGACCATCAGAAGGAATGACAGGGTCTGCGTGTGCCTTTCACCTCCAACTCCTTCATCAGATCTCAAATAAAAATGGTTACACTTAAGAAATGTGTGGCCATTATAACAAGATCTCCCTGTATGGCAAATGCTGGTGTTTTACTGTATGTGCCCCCTTAGACATATTCCAGTGGTGGTAGGGAAGAAAATAAAATTGCACAGAAATGTATAACCTGATCTGGCTTGTTTAGCTGCTAATCCAATCTTCTCTCCTAGTAAAGCTCAAATAATTTGATTGTGTATGTAGGGCACTCTGAAGTACCTGAGGGATGAGAATGGAATCCTGCCCAAACACTGTAGATGAGCAGAAAAGGTACTGAAATGCCTTGCTGCATCAGTACTCAAACTATGTCGTGAAATTTCTGCTGGTCACCCTCAAACCCAGGTGATCTCCTGCTGTTGGGCTTTTCCAGCATCTCTGGAGCCCTTGAGAGGGCTGCATGAAACACAGCAGCACTACGTCCCTGCACATGGGCTGCTTCCGCACTGGGGACCATTCTGCAACCTGGGCCAGGCACTCCAGCTACAGACTGAAAGTGGGAAACCTCCCCAGATGTGGTCACACCTGGCAGAACATCTTGCTGTACATTTTGTAGTATCCTCTACTTGTTTGTGCTCTTACAACGGCATTAACTGGCTGTTAATTATCCACTGAAAGGTTTCTTGTGCAGAAAAAGATCCTTGACCACCACAGGATGTCATACACACATCAGAGTAGGAGTAGGAGTAAGACTAAAGGTCCCATAAAAATGCCTCAAGGACCATGACTTCTGGAAGCACTGGTGGTGACCTCACAGGATCTGGGCTCATGACTCTGGAGTCAAGCAGCTTCTTAAACTTTTCTTTCTACAAGAGGGACAGGGGAGGAACAGGATACAGCCCAAAGGGTGCCTGTGAAAAGGGGCAGCAGTAAAAGCAGGCAGGGAGTATAGGAAGGCAGACAAAGAAATTTGGGGGAGTGAATGGTAAGGAAGGAAGCATTTATAGACTTATAGAATGGTTTGGGTTGGAAGGGACCTTAAAGACCATCCTGTCCAAGCCCCCTGCCCCCAGCCCAGGGTGCTCCCAGCCCCGTCCAACCTGGCCTTGAACCCTTCTGGGGGTGGGGCAGCCACAGCTGCTCTGGGCACCCTGTGCCAGAGCCTCAGCCCCCGCACAGGGAAGAATTTTT